TTTCTTGATCCTATACACAGTCGGTAGGACTCCTTGGACGGGGGATAAGCCCGTCGCAAGGCCGCTACCTACACACAGGACGACACAAACACAGAATAAATGCCTACAGGCATCCATGGTTCGAGTGAGATTCTAACCCACGATCACAGTGTTCGAGCGGGTGAAGACGGTTCATGCCTTAGACCGTGCGGCCATTGTGATCAGCAGTGAGCAGACAATAGTGTCCGATATAGCACTGTCGCACGCAGCTGCCATGGAGACTGCTGTGGAACAGTGCAAGGATGAATGCTGTGCTAGTTAGCGTAATCAGTATATTGATTCCGGACTGTCGGTCACACACCTGCCCAAACATCTATGACAGATGTTTTGTAACCAGCTGACCACGATACAGTTACGGGCACCTCAAATATTTGTTCAGTGACGTATTATTATTTAGCGGAAAAGAATATGCATCATATCCGCTTTGTAGGTTAATTTAGTTAGTATATATTGTTACTGTGACGTCGGTTGACGTTCCGACCAGCATGTCACAGATAAATCTCGACCCATATTAATCAACTGTAACATAATTTTCCAAAATATGGCTGCCTGCATTACTGAGTGGTGCTCTTGTTTTCTGCGTGTGGCCACAAACGTATTTATGACAGCTCTCTGGAGCTTTAGGAAAAAAAGGGTTTGAACACACTCCGTAGTGGAATCTGAAACTCGTATTTTTAAACACATATAGGCACAAATGAGATAAATCTGAGAGGATGTACTTTAGGACAATCTTGCATACGACGTCAAATGACAGAATGACTAATGGGTGATGCGTTGGGAAGTATCCGTGGGGAGCGGGTGCGACGTAATGGGGGGGGGATACCATATTGGCCATTTCCTGGAGGGACATAAATCACAGAAAACCTCAGTGAGAACAGCTTGCGCCACGGTTTAGATTCGAACCAGTGTCTCCCAACTACGGGTCTAGGGCAATCAATTCAGTCCTAAAGGGTTATGGTGCTCTTAATACAGGGAATTGTTATACTTTGCGGCCCTTATACTGGCGAATCGGGGTGTGGTTTCATACAAATAATAAATAAATATAATTTAGATGGGAGGATAACATGAAACTGGATCTAAAAACGAAGTTCTGGGAAGAATTAATCGCTTGATTTCCTTGCTACGACACGGAGCACATAAGAAAAGACGCGTCCAACAATTATTATATTACAACTATTGTGTTTCTGGACAGTATCCATCCTCCTGTTCTTATTTGAAACACAACGTTTGATCAGTCAAGCCAAGTTCATATGTCAGGATCAGAAGGATTTCAACAATGAAATTAAGAATATAAGACATGATCTGATGCTTAACGAATACCCACAATAATTCGTTGGCTCCATAATGAATCCATCGAGAAGCAACTGTCCTTCAGACACGGTCTACTAGGGCACTGTCACTATCCCATATGTTAAGGGTATCGCTGAGAAATTCAGACGCATTGGAAACTGTTCCAATATCAGGACAATTTTCAGAGCTAAACATACACTCCGTGGGTCATTGATCAGAACTGGACCGGTTAGAGATGCCCAGCAGACGAGCAGTGTGTGTGTACAATATCCCACTTGACTGTGGCAGATGTTACATCGGAGAAACAAACAGTCCATTAGAAGTACGCATTAAGGAGCACAAATATAACCTGACACAAGGTCTGCTTGAAAAATTAAAATTATCCCAACATGCATACGGAGAAGGCCACAAAATATGTTGGAAAGAAGCGAAAGTCTTACAGACTGAACCAAACACCATATATTATACACTATATATATATACCCGATTTCATAATCATTGGTTCAGTCATTCAGATGTTGATGTGAGGGCGGGGGAGATACACAGAGGAACATAGAGCATGGAGATCACATACACCTATTTTTAATTTTTTTAAATAAAGAAATCAGGCAAGAAATAGGATGTGGGGATGTAGACTAGATTCATCTGGCTCAGGATAGTATTCAATTAGGGCCCTTGTGAACTTGGTATCCATGAAAGGTGAGGCATTTCTTGTTTAGCTGAGAGACTATCAGCTTCTCAGAAGCACAGATTTCTGGTACATGGTTAGAGCTTGCCTATCCGTAAATACATCAGGCAATTCCTGCGTCATGCATAATGGAGTGTACATACAATAGACATCTATACTTTTATTTGCTTTACTGATTACTAAATGCTGTATAAGAAGAACGTGGTTTAATGTGTTCTCTGTCGTGTTGCGGAGAAGCGCTGTTTTGCATCATTCCTGACGGAGAAATGTTTCTTATTTGCAAGTTGAGTGGTTTAGAATAGCAATTATTAACCTGCCATCTGCCGCCCACCTATTCCTCACCAATCTTGCAGCACAGTGTTTGATATGCAACCGATCATTAAATAGACGAGTTAACTGAAAGAATATCACACTGGTTATTTATTTTGAAATAAAGGAAGTTAAGAAGAGTTTTAGTTAATCATTTGGCTATTAGAAATTACGAAAAGATGAAATCATAGAAATAACTTTCTAAAACACGATTTACTGAATGTCTACTAAAGCGCTTGAAATAAAAGAATGATTTAACCTTGATAAATATAGAAGAATAAGAGTGAAGAGAAGACAAATTTTCCTCGGAGAATCTGAAAGGAGAACTTCTTGGAAGACGTAGTATTACGATAGATTGTAGGATAATATTAAGATTGATCTTAAAAAAAATAAGGCGGAAGGGTATGAGCTTGATAAATTCGCTCTGTACAAGGGCAGCGTCGAGCTCTTGCGAGTGTGGTAATTGATCTTTATGTTCCATAACGGGCAGAGAAATTCTTGACTGAATATCTGTTATGCTTTGTCTGAAAAATCTTTGACGGTACATCACACTTGAGCAGGAAAGCTTGCGGAAAAAGGACATCTTGTGTATTCAGTGAGAACTCCATTATGACAATTTTGGTTCCTACTGTATTATTAGGACTTAGTATTTTAGTGTCATTTTGTGTATGAGCCAATTTTATTATTGTTCCACCAACACAATTATTTGTATAGATTCACTATACATTATGTATTAAGTACTACATGTTTCGGCCTCATTGGTCATCCTCAGGTATATACAATTCTTACGTTCACTCTTTTGTCGTCTGCTAGTCCTCCGTGCACTGGTCAGAGCGTACAAAATGGAATGATTCTTCAGGTTTTTTATGTTTATGTAATGTAATTTTTGTAGAAAAAATTAATATTAAAATTATAATTAAAAATTAAAATGTCAAAATGTGTATTGTGTCGTCTCTTATGTCTCCTTCTACCAAAATATTCTTGTGATATCCACTAATGCGGCTGTTGTTCTGCGGTCTTGCTGATGTTTATGAAGTTTTTCTTTATGGTCTTGTTTTGGTGTTCTGGTTGTTTTATATTGGCCTGTGATAATGCAATGTGTTGTTTTTCTATATTATTTCTGTTCTTGTGGCCTGCTGCATGGGAAGTGTAGAACTTCTACGAGTGGTTGTGTGGAGCTCCTGCTCTGTGTTGAAAATAGCACCTATTAACTTTCTAAGCATGGTGTAACGATATACGTCACCGCCTGATGATGATGATGCATCCTCCATCTTCTCAAGGAAGACTGCTTCATGAAATCATTTTAAAAGCTACTTTCTCCTGATCACTGTGTCGCAAAGTCCTTTTGGAGACCATACCTCCTAGCCACGATGTCGGAAACGTGTTCTGAACGGAAGATACAGATTTGATAACATTCACTTCAGACCATTGGCATCCTTTTTTTTTTTTATCAGCAACTCGGCATTTGGTAGCACAGAGTGTAGCGACTAACTTATTAGATACAACTTGACCGATATTCGTATGATGTTTACATCTGTTGACACTCTGTGAAAGTATGGCAATGAATTAGTCATACTTTATGCTTTGTCCATATTACATACTTCATACAACATTTTTCAAAACATTATTTTGGTCTGATGAATATTAAAGGGACTAGGGTTTTATTTATGAATTTAAACAAAGTGGTAACTTTGGCTGTTATTGTTGTTGTGATTTTCGTCTGACTTGATTCAGTGGGAGCAGAATATAGGTCCCAGACGGACGGAATGATGAGCACGATCTTACCACACTCTGATTGTTATTATTGACTGATTCGATAGTATCCATCGGCTACATAAATTAGGATGGTAACGCCCACGGCTGCTTCCAACAGGATAGTGCTACAGGGCACAGGGCACACGACTCTTGTCACCATGACGCTTCTGCGCCATTGTTTACTGGCCAATAAATTCCAACGGAAATTTGGCCACCGAGATCGTCCGAGCTTAGTCATTTTATTTCTATCCGTGGGGAGCGATAAAAGCTTCAGTCTGCAAGTAAAGGTAAAGTAAAGTTGTCCCTGTGCGTAACTAATTAAGCACTACGCCATGAAGGCGTATGGGGAGTGAATGTATACATCCACATTTTCTTGACCTCGGTACTAGTTGGAAGTGGGTGGTCAGCTTCATGCCCCGGCCGATTTACCCCCGAGGAAAGAGCCCCCGGTATTCATTTCATATGAGGTTGGGTGGACCCCAGGACCGGTCTGCCTCACTGGGACTCGAACTCCGACTCCTCCGTCCTCCAGCCCGTAGCCAGTCGCTATCCCGGCACCTTCAATCTACAAGTACAGTCCAATAATCTCCATGATCATTACTAATTGTGTTATGAACATCCTACAGGCTGAATCGGTGACCGTCTGCGCCAAGATAAAATGGGTAGATGCTTGTCTATATGCACTTGGGTACCACTTACAACAGTTGTTACCATTGTTACACCAATGAAATATATTCGTGTTTTTCAGGTGCAGAGTGGCTTTCGACTCACACTGTACCTGTAGTAGTGCGCGTGATGTCAGTATTTACAAGATACTATCCTTCGGAGCCTTAAATGCTTTCATCTTCATACTCCGTGATCTCACCAGGGCTACAATGCGTGCAAACCATGACTGCAGCGCATTCTGTGGGTAGAAACCTGATTCATCAAGGCGGTCAAGGCCAGTAGTTAACGTTTCTGGCACTCAGGTTCTTTTTCGTTCGTGGACTCGTCATCGGGATCGTGAATATCGTGAAGCTGACGGGGTGAAGATGTTTGGAGGGGAGTAAGACCAGGGTTGGGCAGAAAAGAGGTGGGAGCGAACAAATCGCCGCACATAACAGAGAGTAGTGAGTGAAGGTGGGAAAGAAAGGAAACCACGTACTGTCATTGTCGGTCATTGTGGTGGTCGGTGTTGACGGTGTTGACTGTGTCGTTGCAGACTGTCAGTGTGATATCGTAGTGTAGTATAAAGAGTAAGTTCTTTTTTCCGCCGTGTAAAGACTGACTAGTGCGGCAAATAGTAACAGCGTTTTTAGCCCTTTTTATTCATAGACTTCGAGAAAGCCTATGGTTCAATTAGGAGGGAAGTATTGTACAATAATCTGATAGAGTTTTGGGTACCCTTGGAACTAGTTGGGCTGATTATAATGTGTTTAAACGAAACGTGTAGTAAAGTCCATATATGTAAACATTTGTCTGATAATTTCCCTACCCAGAATGATCTAAAACAAAGAGGTCTTTATTGCCACTCCTTTTCAACTTTGCTTTAGAATATGCCATAAGGAAGGTCCAGGAAAACCAGGTGGGACAAATTAAATGGGATACATCAGCTGTTGGTCTATGCTGATGATGTGAATCTACTGGGTGATGATATAGATACCATAAAGAGAAACACACAAACTTTAATTGGTGCTAGTAAGGGGGTTGATCTAGAAGAAATGCAGAGAAAACTAAGTATATTGCTGTCTTGCTACCAAAATGCAGGGCAAAATCATGAAATAAATATAGGTAACAGATATTTTGAAAATGTGGCACAGTTCAGATATTTGGGAATGATGATAACAAATCAAAACCTGATTCAGGAGGAAATTAACAGGAGACTGAACTTGGGTTATGCTTGCTACCACTCAGTCCAGAACCTTTTTTCTTCTCATCTGTTGTCCAAAAACATACAAATTATATTATACAAAACTGTAATATTGCCTGTGGTTCTGTATGAGTGTGAAACTTGGTCTCTGACATTAAGGGACGAACATAGACTTAGGGTGCTGAGAAGAATATATGGACCAAAGAGAGATGAAGTGACAGGAGCTTCATAGTTTGTACTCTTCTCCAAGTCTAGTTAGAATGATCAAGTCAAGGAAGATGAGGTGGGCATGGCATGTAGCACGAACTAAACAAATTTACCACAGCTAATTAAAATCTGAAGTGGTTTGTGAAGACCTCTGAAACTGCAGAAGGATCTGGTTTGTAATATCTGTAACTGATTGGCCATGAAACTATCATTTTAAGTGGAAGTAAGATTGCCGTTATTGACTTGTTGCTTCCAGAATTATATATCCATTTTAATTAGGTACTGTAACTTCCTAATTGCTATTTGAACACATAGGTTTTTCTTTCCAGATATTTCGAAAAGTTATAAGGAGAAATGATGGGGTATTCCTTGTACTATACAAAACCAATTTTATTTCTGTAAATGTGAAAGAATATCACAATCTTGCATTTCTGGTACATAATCTGTACAAACAGTAAATATTGTATTATATTCATATGTTCTGAAAGTAAAGAAGTTTGTTTCTAAAGTTATTTGCTTGTTTGTCACATTGTGTACGAATTTTGTAAACTTTGCTCTTTTATTGCAACTTCTGTTAATGTTCTGTACTAATTTTTTCTATTCCCAATCATCTGTGTCCTTACAGCAACAGGATGGTGATAAAGAAAATCTGTTGCATTGGGGCAGGTTATGTAGGTGGGCCAACATGCAGTGTCATAGCTTTGAAATGTCCTGACATAACTGTCACTGTGGTTGACAAGAGTAAAGACCGTATTGCACAGTGGAACTCTGATAAGCTACCAATATATGAGGTATGAAGTTGAAAGATAAGATGTCTTGACACTAAAATTAAATAAATTAATGTCTTCCATCAAAATTTTACCAAAAAGGAAAAGAGAAAATGCTTGCTATGTTTCATTGTTCATACAGGTATGATGCATGTCTGAATAATATCCAGGTCTTCTTATTCATTTTATTTTTCCTTGTATGCATTTGTTAGGGAACTTACTGCCTGTACCAGTAACAAAATATTCTCTCCAACATTCCCCTGGTATTCCTCCTACTTTTTCCATGAGGATTTATAATTCCTTGCTTCCATCATCAGCCTGTCTTCACATATTGTATCAACATGATCTTTACACCTATTTTGTATTCAAGTCTTTGAACAATTTAACATTCTCTTGCCACAGACAGTTTTGGAGAACACTAATTTTATGCCTGCTTCTTGCTTGACGTTTGCTTGGCTTACTCTCTGACCATGAAGATGGAGGTAGTGTATTCCTCTGATATGGCAGTGAACTTCTACTGGACTGCATGGCATTCCATTCCAGAAGATATACGCTTCACTCGCCACTATGAGAACAACACCTCCAACTAATCATGATAATTTTTTCAGATTAATTAACAAATGAAATGTGAAACAGTTACACTTCTACCTGTCAGAAAATAGGAGATACATTTGAGAACATTAAATATTGGATTAAATATTTTCAGTTATTGTGTTATTGTACGTGAATGATGTCTCACTGAAAGGAAGCATGAATATTGCTTGTTATTTCAACCACAGTCACACTAATCTGAGGTGTGATTCATGGAGGGTTGGAAATTTCTGACATAAAATGCAGGTTATTTACTAAATCAAAATTCACCAAATCCAGGCACTACACTGCCTATATTGGGCCTAGACTTGGACTGGAAGAAGTGTTCACTGAATGCAGAATTACGCTGCATTTATAACTTAACAAGATTTTGTCATGTATTGGAGGTCACTGTGGAAATTTGACAAAGGTCTCCTCTGTCTGTCTGTCAGTCTGTGACTTCTGAACAGCTGGACAGGTTTTCATTTCTTTATTTTTTTTCTTCAGTATGGGGGACTTTAACTGAAAATTGATGGGCAATTATGATTTTCAGTCATTGTGACCGATAATAAATGTCACTGTACCTAAGGTCATAAGATAGTTTTCTGACAGAAGCTATTCCTTAGGAAAGCACAAGCATGTTGCTGTGGAAAGCCTTGGAAGAAATTTATTAATAAAAACTCTCCCCAAAGATTTTCAGAATTTTATATTCTGACAACAACTTAACTCATACCTGGGTGAACAACCAATTTCAAAAAGTGAGGCTGCAATGTGGTGGTGGAGAAACCATCTGATATACAGCTTGTTAGGTAGACCTGCTGTCAAGTACCCGCCACTTCATTCCACACAAACGAAAAGTGAGTGGTTGATTTCTGTTCTAGGAAATGTGTTGACCTCAAGAGGAGAAAACTTGTTTCCTTCTAACGTTGAAAGGCTGTGCTTTTAAATAAGAACATGTAAATGCAAAATGTTATAAAAACATAGTTTTTGTGTGATTGACACTGTATTACTTATCTAACAGTATTTAGAATGTTAATTATGATAGTAATAGTATCTCAAAGAGCTGGGATAGCGTAGTCAGTATAGTGACTAACTATGGGCTAGATGACCGGGGTATCAGAGTTCAAGTCCAGGTGGGGCCAAGAATTTTCTCCATGTCATCCAGACTGGCTCTGAGGTGCACCCAATCTCCTATCCAATGGGTACAAGGGGCTTTTTCCCTGGGAGTAAAGCTGCCAGGGAGTGAAGCTGACCACTCACCTCCAGCTAGTGCCGAGGTCAAGAAAATGAGGATCTGTACATCCATTCCCCTGTATGCCTTCATGACGTAGTGCTTAATTAGTTAAGCACAGGGACAATTTTACTTTTTTGAGTAGTATCTCAAGAGGTAATTTGGCAACAGTCATCTCACATGAATACTCCATTCATGAATAAGTAGATATGTGTTGAGTACACAACATGTACACTGTTGGCATTGTACAAAATTCATTGTAGTAGTCACTTCTGATTCGAAGGTTTTTAGATTAGGAATAAGCAGAAAGTTTGATGTTTTGTTTAGAGTTCAAAATCGTATTTATAACAAAGCTTGAGTTTGCAAATTTTTCAAAATATGCCCTGTATCATTGAGTCATCTGTGTTGTCACATCTGAATGTGGTGTCCTTCCTGAAGACATTTGCTCATTTGAGTTTATCACTTCAGTCTCTGCTGCATATAGGTGTTTATGAGGCAAGTGTGTAGCCACTTAAGAACATCAGTCTTAATTGCATAATCACTTTGGAACTTGCAGCCATTTAAGGTGATATTTAATAATTCAGGTAGTCAAGAAAATCTTTGTGCATTAAACCCTGCCAGCTCCAGTAAGTCTTTGTCCTTCTCTTTTTCTGCAGGCAACTGCCCTTTGAATCTGTGAAGTGTTCTGAGACTCCAAATGATGTGACTGTATATTGAACTGTGTGGATTTTTGTATGCCTTGGTGTATCCACTTTTGTTATATGAGACAATCAAGTTATATATCTACTTTCCTTCTGCACCATTGAAGACTTGTATGTACACATGATAACATATATCTGCTTCTGGTTAAATGTAAGGTCCCTTAGCATCCTGTGTATGATGTTGAATTTTCAGGTAGGAATGGACGATGATCTGTGCTTTATTAACTAACCAACCATCCAGCCATCCTGTCAACTATCATCTTGGTGCAGTGTTCATTGAAAGTTGATATATACATAGTTGATCAAGAAATTCCGTGGCTTTATGGAACCAAAATGTACATTTTTGTGTTCACAAAAGCCCACCAGTGGACAGTGTCCTGAACTACTTGATCTAATTCACCTTTCTTAGAGCCCATTTTAGTACAATCCTGTTGTCTAAACCAAGATCTCCCAGGTGCTCTTTTCCCTTCATATTTTTTCAACCAAAACTTTATATGTGTTTCTGATTCCTTGTGTGTACTAAACGTCCTCCTTGTCTCGTCCCCTTTATTTCAATTACCCAAACAATAATTGGTAAAAATTATAGGTTATGAAACCTCTCATTAAGTACTTTTCTGTATTAGCTCTTTATTCCCTCTTCATTGGGTTTAAATATCCTGAACACTCTTCCTTTTTAGCCCAAAGTCTCTCCAGTGCCATTACTAGTATTTATTTGAACGGTGCTGTCACTGTAATACAATGATGAGGCATGGTTGGCTGTTAATTTTATTAGGTATTCATTTCAGTCATAATTTTCTGTAGTATTGCATGAGTTCTGTATATTTTGGCTAGTTTTCTTTTTTCCCCAAAACCTGGCAGCACAGGAGATACGCACTTTCACACTACCTTCAAGTACTGGAGTGAGGTATTGTTGCTACTGCTTCCATGCACCGTGTTTTTCCTTCAGCTTTATTGACACTGTTTTTAGAAGCAAAAATTCTTGAAAACCTACAACAGATCATATTGCTCGTTAATTGAACAGCACAAGATTTCAGTATAAAATTGAAAAGAAGGTAATGGGTGATTGACCATGCTTGCATCATGGTGTTCTGTTGTGCATCCTCATAACTCTGCTCATTAACAAGTTCGTAGCTTGAATGAACAGTATTTTCCATATGACTATGTTCATTTTAGCCTGGTCTGGATGAAGTAGTTAGGGAGTGTCGTGGCCGCAATCTGTTGTTCTCCACTGACATCGAGACAGCAATAAAAGAAGCAGACCTAATCTTCATATCTGTCAACACACCCACCAAAACATTTGGAAATGGAAAGGTAAGGATATTTGTTCTACTGTCATTTTTACTGTGCAAGTTCACTTCAGATTTATCTGTTCAGCATAGTAAAGCTCCATCTTTCTTTCATCTTAATTTGTTCTGCACTAATATCAAGAAGAGCTCATACAATGAGACCCAGCCAGCCCCATTTCCTGCTTGGAACCTTACCTCACACCTCACATATGCCTTTGTGGAATAGTCTTTAGCCATAGCAGTAACTTTACCTTTACATCTTTACACAGTTTTAAGTTTTTTGTATGCATAGCTCCCAGTTATAATGGTTCAACATTAACTGTTTGTAATTACCAATATTGTGTACCTGGAGTTGATCAAGGGGAATGGAATGTGGCTATGATAATGCCAAGTCTGCCACTCTATTCTTATGCCTGAGCCTTAGTTTTTCCTCAGTTGTGTTTAGGTTGATGTAACAAAGTAATCCTTTCCTAATGTTGATACCTCTTGAGCACGCAGCAGGAGTTAAGCACCTTTGTTATTATTAGATTATTATTATTATTTATTAGGCCACCATATATCCATAAGGATTACAATTCCAGCGGATGTAGTTACCGTCATTAAGTATATGCAAATGACTGTGCAATAGTGCACTCGTCAGCAACATACATAACAAATTGTATAACATGTGAATAAAACAAAAAAAATATACTAACAATCTAAAAAAGTTATAAAAGAAACAAGTACAATTCAGTATTTATGCTTAGAAGTAAAAATACAGTGATAATTAAAACACTCTGCAAAGATACATGATCAACTGTGCAATAGGACACTTGTCCAAATGTATTAAAAAAAAGAGATTGATTGACATCATAGAGTAAACATTCAGGTACAGAATTTTTTAAAGATTGTAAGTGAATAATATGTTAAACCATGCAGGCTAATTATGGCTGAGGCACTAAATTCCTTCATAAATATGCACTCAAACTTTTGTAAAATTGAAATAACTTGCTGCACTTATCTGTTGATGACTGTATCAAATTTTATTTGACAGCAGTCTGTATCCCAGTCTGTATGACATGCAATGGCAGGTGAAAGTCTTTCCTGCATGTTGTCTGTATTTCCGATTTCTTTCACATGTACTTCATTTTGAAAGCCAGCTAAAGCACTGGAACGCTTGAATAAAATGGTTTAAACCTGTCTGGATCATGTATCGTGTATGTACATGTTGCAGTTCATATACATAAGCTAAATTGTGATTACATCTGAAATTTAACACGAAAAAGGGCAGAACTTCTAAATTACACAGTAATTTCAAAAGTACGGTCAATGTTTTATTTATTTATTTTTTATGAGGTGTGGATTCTGTGTGTAATTATTCCACTGACAGATGTGTTTAATATTCTCATGTGTTAGTGACTGGACATTGGATTTGGATTGATAATTGGATTTATCTATCACTTATAACTCGTAACTACAGATGATCATAACACTGTCACTAGTCTACATTACAATATCAGTACAGCACACACCAAGACTTCTCCGTTTGTTGTGTCTTCACTAGTCATTGCTATGTAGTGGCTGCTGACAACAGAGATACCTCTGCTTCCTTACCCATGGCTAACCACTAGCTACAAGTGCTGACACAAAACTAACAAACTTCTGGGTTGGATTGGGTAATTTTCTGATGGCCCCCACCAATGCAGCCACTCTAGGCTACAAATACTGCGCTGTCTCGCAAGTCTGACCTAACAAACTTTCAAAGAGTCAGAGTCAGAGTTACTTTATGATTGGTGATCTGCTGCCAATTAGTTTGTCTTGGCACCAAGCCCCTCATGACTCACAACCAGTATTCTTTTTCAAACCAAACACTTGTGGTTATAGTCCTTATGTAACATCATCTCTGATGAGAGGATGGGTCTGTTGTTTACAATTACTACTGGCCCTTGTCAGTGCAGTCATTCTTGGGTCCAAGTCCTGTGGGACCTGGAGTGCCAGGCCCCATATTTATATACCCCAGGAATATGGTGGCCCAATTATGCCCCCAGGCACCAGGTTCCCTTTTTGTCACCTCCTATGACTTGAAGGGCTGTGGTGGAGATATTCAAACCCACCTCCATGTGGGGTCTAATCCCCCAACTAACTTTCAGATTTGGTCCTTGACAATATATATATATATCCTTGGCACAGACTGAGTAAAAAACACCGCTTCCAGCAGTTGCTCTGTTGCAGGTTTATTTGTTGTCGCAGAAATGTGTTAATCACGCCGTTGCCAAGCAATGGCCGCCTCTTCTTTTTCTACTATTCCAGCTTTCAACCATCATGTCACAATATAAAAAGTACTGACAAGAAGAGTTGTATGTGCACACATAGGTATTATACACACAAATTTGGCGTGTGTGAGGGTTGAGACATTGTTTCAAGAGGAGTGAATGCTGCATCGATTGGCCCACTACTAAATGTGTTTAGCGTAAATAATGCTGTCATGTTACTTTGTGTGCATATTTATGTGTAGCATAAGTAAGTGGTCTTGTTGGAACAGGGTCGAGCAGCAGACTTGAAGTATGTTGAAGGTGCTGCGCGAATGATAGCAGAAGTTGCAGCTAGTAACAAGATTGTTGTAGAGAAGAGTACAGTGCCAGTACGTGCTTCAGAAAGTATTCTCAACATCCTACGTGCCAACAATAAGCCTGGTGTTAGTTATCAGGTACAAAAACAGTTGATTGTCATCAGCGTATAAAATATAAAATTGGAATATTATGTCTTTGTTTATTTGAAAATAAAATTAGAATTTTAAAAATTATTTTTCCAGGGATAGTGAAGATTTCTCTTCTGGCTTATAGACAGACTATTGTCTCTTTGAATATTATTAAATCTGTACGTTTCTAGGGACTTTTTTCGAAATAGGAACAAATATTTAAGGGGATCTTCCATAAGGTGTTCTTTCTTTGCATACTTTCCTTTCCCAAGGAAAATTGTAGTTTTACAAGATTAGCATTCAAGATTCTATCTGATGGGGAGAATGCCTGTAGCACTTATCTCCATATTTTATATGCCTTAATGGCCAGATGCATAGATGTACAGATAATCTTATCTTTACAAATTGAATTTTGTTCATATTGAATTTATTGTAAACCTAAAATAAAAATGTGCACCATATGTGGATAAATATTTTAATGAATTACCTTCCCTGCCCCCCATAGATTCTCTCAAACCCTGAGTTCCTAGCAGAAGGCACAGCAATAGATGACCTTCTAAATCCAGACAGAGTATTGATTGGTGGAGAAGACACCCCAGAAGGCCATGCAGCTGTAGAAAAACTGTGTTGGGTATATGAGCACTGGATCTCCCGCAGCAGTATAATCACTACTAACACATGGTCTTCAGAACTGTCAAAACTGGTGAGTGTGTATTTTAATTGTGCTTCATTGTATGTTAAAGAAATGGATTAGCTGAAACACTTTTTCTCACTTATCTTCATCTGTTATGGATTAGGTCCTTAGACCTGTTGTGATACAGAAATGACTTGTGGAAGAATGATGGCCATGTCCATAATTTATGCTAACTGTCTTACAGTGCACACACTTTTTCACCTTACTCTTCTCTTTTGCATTACATGTTTCAGCATTAATGTGCCATATTCAGGTGCGTTTTCTCTATGCACGTCTAACTACTGCATTGCATGCCCTGATGTCTTCATACTAAAGTGACTAAAATATATATTTAACCGTTCAGCGTGGTTTGACGTGTATGTTTCGTCAGGTATTTAAATCGTCTGGGGGGGTTCGACGTGTATGTTTCGTCCAGCTGCACACCTATGTTATAACGCCCATAATAATTGATGGTTTTGCTGTAGATTGNTTCTTTTTTTATTTGTTATCTTAAAAACCAGGACGATGGATAAAGTCCAGAAACCCAATATATCAGTAGTTAATTTATTTATACTTCTCAAAGGTAGTTTTAATTGTACTCTTTTATTACATAACTTAATATTTTGCTGTATGTCTTGGAAGTTACACCTCATTAATCTGTAACACATAGTGATCTGAAGTGCATGACAGTACTCACTTTTCTTGATTTAGGTATGACAGTTTAGTTGATGTTGTCCGCGTATAGTTAACTGAATTTTCAGTTTTTGACACCACATTTGCTGGAATGAAATGAATACTACCTTATTGGAAAATATTGTTAAGTAACTGAGCGATGCTCGTAAATAATAGAGACATAATTATCTTGCACAAATTTAAGCCACATCTCACCATGCTTCATGTTTTCCTCTGCTGCCATTGATTCATACAGATCACTTTGGTTTGCTTCTTTTTAT